ATAATCTTTGCCTAATTTTAGTACTGATCCTTTACTTATTCAGCCAACAATGGCAAGTATCAAACTTACACACTTGGTACACAGTAACAGTTCTCGAAAAAAGAACCTATTGGGCAAAATCGTTTTAAAATTTGCCATAAAATTGAATTAGATGCATCCGAATGTATCAAAATATCAACTATTTTCATTTCAGAATAACAATGTAGTGTAAATAAAAAAATTAACGAATGTTATATTGAAAGATTTGAAGTTTTGTATTATTAATATTATTTAAATAATTAGCCACATATGTACTAGAGAAATAAGAGATGTTCCACGTTTATATCAGACTAATACCAAAATAGGTACGTGCCTATATACAACACGACATGTTTAATAATCCCCAGCCAATGCACACACGAAACTTATGAAAACATTACATAAGAAGTTTTGTCAACAAAGTTTCGTCAGACAGTAGTAGTATTCATCAATCTGCCATATACCTAGAGGAGCAACTGAAAGCAAAAACTGAAACTGAAACTGCCAATTATATTACATCTGATTTTATGGGAAAGAGAAAACAATATTAGAAAACACAGCAGTAATGTGAATGTCCACACGGTGCTTTTGGCGTTTCAGCTCCTTTTCTAAACTACTCCTACTTTAGTAAATCCTGCTTGGTTTATATTTTACTTCCACTTAAAGTTTAACAATTAAACAAAAATAGATAGGTACTGTATTTGAGAACACTTGTTCGCAGAAGTCGTGTTTAAAAATGAAAATGTAAAGATCCGCGAAAGAGTTTTTTGTTTGCCCTTGACACACGTTTACACAAAATGTAATAAAATTTAAAAAAAAGTGTATTCTGACAATGTTCACTGCATCATTTTAATATTAAAGACATTTATAAAACAAAGAAACAGAATAAATCTTAATGTTTAAAATGTTTACGAGCGTTAGCGGTGTATCACAAAGTGGAATAATATGTGGCTTGTTAAATAGAATAAATCTATACTTTTACCTATAAATTAGTGAACACGTACAGGATCAAAACATTTTTAAATAATGATGCAACAAACTTACTATTTATATTCATACTGTAATTGAAATGCAGACATCGTCGCTTATTTTGCGCGGCATAACCCACAACTCTAGTATCGCGGACATTGCATATTTACACCTTGAACTGATTTTTCGCTGTTAGACCAAATAAAAATAATAACTGTTTTAGTCATCTTTCAAAAATAACAAACCATCAACTAAGCCAACAAATTTCGAAACGTTTTCTCTAAATGTGTACGATATACAGAGTTGTTGACAGAGTGATACTCGAAAACCGTTAGTTGCCTCCATAAATCATCTCAATAGTGAATGAACCTGAACATATTCACGATCAAAGAAAAACGAAGAAAAAATCTGCCATTCCTGCTTCCTGATGATTTGATTTACGATAAACTTAGTTAAATTTCTTGTAAACGTCTGGAGACCCCATACGGATATAAGAATAGTAAAATGATAAAATGGCAGGAATTAATTTTCATGTGGGCGTCGAATGTAAATCCTTGACTGTTACAAAATTCCTGCAAGATGTATTACAAAATATTTTAATTTCTCTGTTAAGAAAACAAATTATCGGTGTAATAAAATTTTAATGATTGATTTTGACCATTTTGAGGAGTGAAAGAGTTGTTCGTCCCATTTTTTCATAGCTGGATTAACGAATACATTTTTAATCAACGCTGATGAAGTGACGAGAATATAAATCAGCTTTAACAGGCCACCTCTTTCGTCTAGCCCATTTTGACCACGATGTCCATTAATCATGCCGGACGACTTTGAAGAGTGTCAATTGATTGAAAACATAAATTAAAAGTGGCATTTGCGTATGACTAAGTCTTCCGAAATCCAGAGTTGGAGTAATAGAATACATTCAGATCTATTTACAATTTTTAAGTCACCCTAATTAACACTTTATTTCTGTTAAAAATGCAGAAGGCAATTTTTACAAATGTGATTCCGAGTTATTCTTCGTAGATTATTTTCACCTTTAAAAATTTAATGAGAGTCTGGAGTACTGAAAAATTAACACTTCATCTTGAACACATTGCATAACTGATTATCCTTGATAACATTCAGAATACTATTACTTTTACACATAAGGTATAGGCATCAAACAATCTGGATAATATATTTTATCATAGAAAGGAAGTGTAGTACCCTCGACCTCTGTCAATACAGGTGGAACTAGGATGTATCTATAGTCTGTGAGTAATTATTCTTAAAATATATTTACATAAAAATTACTTGATTACTTAATAAATAAAATGAACTCAATTTGCATTTTTCAGCTACATTAAAATTTTACAGTTTTTTGTTACCTCTAGCTCATCTAATTAGTCTATTAAAAATATAACATTTCAAAAAAAAACTATCAAAAACTAAGCTATAAATCATGAGTTCGCTTAGAAAAAGATTCCCAATGTAGTAAAAAATGTATATTATCCTTTAGTCACGATCGCTTTAGCCATCGTAAAAGACACAGTCAACCACTTCTGACCGCAAATTGTATTGGATTTCTCGAACTGAATTTATTATAGGGTTGCCTCAAGTAAACAGTTTTTCTATTATAGAAGAAGAGCCATAATTAGGAACTGAATAAACTGATTAGAGTTTTTAGAGCTACTGTGACTACTGTTGATTTCGAGAATCGTATGTCCGTATAACCAACAAGTATGTACTTTTATAAACAACTTTTATTAACGTTATTACTTGTCCTGCGTTCCTCAAAATTCATTTCACTTCAATTACTTTAATAACAAAATTGTTAAAAGGTCTTGTCTAATCAACCTATACCTCATCATATAATATACAGAACTCTATCATCTATCATAACGAGCAGACAAGATTTAACGAATATTGAATTTTAACGGAAAACTTCAAGGAATAGTTCTATTTAACATACTAAAACATTGGAGTGCTCTTCTTCTAAACGACAAAGACAATAGATTCTAAAAAATACTTTAAAACAAAAGCCCGGGTTGAAAATTCTCAACAATAAAGATTTTCCGTTTAAATATTCTCTTCTCTCCAAAAAATAAAGAAAGAACAGCATTTTATTAAAGTAACTACACTGAGTATAACTATATATTTACGGTTTGTTTATGTTTTAATTGAAAAAAATTGTAAATTGTTTAACATATATAACTTTTTCAGATGTGAACATAAAAGAGAATGCTCATTTCTTAAAGTATTTAAATGTGCGTTTTTATCATGTTTACAACGATTTAACATATTTAATTCTTCAGATTCTAAGGATCAAAAACTAAAGAATTAATTAACGGTAAAACTTTATTGCACCCCTCTAATGCATAGAAGAATATAGTTCTACAACATGTGAATACTTACATACATGGTAAAAGCATCAAAATATAAAAAAGTCGTCTTTAAGTTCAGTTATTAATCTGAACTATACTAAATGTTGTGAAATAATGGGCAAAAAGTTACATGTCCAGAAAAAGAGTGAACATCAAAAATCGTCTTCTAATTGTCTCGGGACGAGCAAGATGTTTTTCTCATCGCCTGCTGCACGCAACTGAGAATGGGAAAAACAGCTGATGATCCATAACTAACTTGAGGACGATTTTCGTTGATCCTACTTTGCACCGCAAAAATATACTTTGTTACAAATTTTCTCCAAATTCCAAATTGAATTGAGGTGTTGCAAAAAATAATTATACCTACTCAAAAACAACCAATGGAAAGTAGAAAAATATCTACCAAAAACTAGTGATGCTCAGACGTTATATTTGTATCCCCACCCTAAAAATACAGATAGGAAATTTCAAAATCTGCATTTCTATACTTACCAATAGGGTCACCATTAAAATCACTTACGAGGGCTAAATGATTACTGGTAATTAATGTAATCTAAAGATTTCAAAAATGAAATAGCAACATTACTATTTTACAATAACCCAAAATATCTATGTTACATAATTCAAAATAAAATGAAAAATACAGCAATAAAGTTAACAATTATATGGTAAATCTATGCAGATCATAAATTTTCAGTTTAGTTAGAGCGTAAGCAAATTAGTTTAGCAGAATTGGGTAGTTTTGTATATGACAATACATAAATAAAGAAATTTCAAACCAACCATATTTTAATGTTCTTATTTATATTTCGTGAACCAATAAATTGATAATAATTAAAATGTCAAAAAAGTTTTTTTTTAATTTTCTATCTATTTCAAAATTCATTCTCTGAAAAATTTACTCCATCATGAAAATTAATACATAATGAAAAAAACAATTTTTTGAATGTCTAAACTTTTTCATGTTTCTTAATTAAAAAAATTTCGTACTTTTATATAGAAGACACTTAAAATTTGAACCTAAAAAAAAACAGGAGTAAAAATGTCCCAATCAATCGCAAAATATTCAAATGGCAAAATAAGTGATTTATACTCTGATTTCTACAATTTATAAATATAAATACACGTAACATTGAAACACTAAAAAATGAATTTTTTGAAATTATTAATATCGTGAACCGCAAATTTTCAGAAATTGTCAATAATACGATAAACTACTGAAATTGTAAAATTTGTCTTTGAAAATGCGATCCCCTCTTCCAAAATCCCCCGGTTAGTTTAAACAGACAAAAGATTTCCTGTTATTCCCACTTTTTGAACGCGAGTGGGTCAGGGGTACACTTTATCACCAACCAAGATAGCCAAACTGACCTCACGACACAACACAAGCAAGAAAATTCATAATTATCCAATCACCGTGATTCACTCGTCCATTTTCGTCCCAGATGCAGCAAACCCACTAAGGTCGAGGTAATCCCAAAAATAAACGTTTTTTGAATAAAATTGGCCGGCGCCCGAACGTGTTAACACAATGTAAACACGATGCGGCATTGCATTTCCTTTCAATTTGCACGTGATTATATTTAACTTTCTCAGGTATATGTTTGGATTTCCTAGGACTAGTCCAACTTTTGGCACGCTACTTACGTTGCACATTTTCATGAAAAAAAATCAATTTTTTGCCTCAAGTCCAAGACACAGCACCAAACCGTTCGGAAACATGTTTAAAAATGCGCGTTGTTTCCGCGATCGCGTGTTTTGTGCGAGATCCAAGTACCAAGAACGTGCTTTCGAAGTCGCGCCAACGGATCGACTGAGCTCTGGTGTCTCTTTATTTGTTAAAGCGCATTCATTGTGGTCCATTCATCTCCGAACAGTCTGATCTCGTATTTCAGAAGGACGCATAAACACGTATGAAAGTATTGTAATTTGTCGTGGGATTTCGTCTTATTGGAACACATAATGGCAAGATTGTCGGTTGGGGAGTTTTCAAAGCTTGACACACCGCTGTGGCATTACCGGTCCTATAAAATAAGTCTTTGCCTGCGGGATTTGCAACCTTTTGCCATTAAACGCACGAATTTATTGAACGTCACTGTTATCGATACTCATAACTTTTTTTAATGAATTTCCACCATCTGCAGTACTTTACGACATAAGCCAAATTTTAAAGCCGAGTGTCTTTTAATGCGGACCGCGAAATTGCGAGGCTTTACGACTTCACCTCTTACACACTTACAATTTATCACATTTGCAGTAAAAGTTTACGTCCACTGTGCTGCTGAAGTTTTAATAATGGCATGCTCAGGGCCGGGTCAGGAACATTGAAGCCTCGTAATTGAATAAGATGCAGATGCATTAATGTTTTCTGGAACGTGAGTGGTGCTCAATGTTCCGTTAGATCTCACACTTTATACATAAACACTTAAAATTTAAACGTTAAAGGCTATAAATTAACTTTACTTTAACAACCAAAAATGTGGAACAATAGACATTAATTCCCTCATTTACTTGTAAGCAACATTTTCATTTTTTATAAGCAAAATATTGATTAGGTACACTATAAAATTTACAAACATGAACAAAACATTATGGATAACCTATACTTATTTTATACGAAATAATAATATTAAAATTAATAACCATTTATTAGCCCAGCAAGCAATAAATGCTTGCATATACAGCGTTGTTCTAAAGTGGAGTCCTTATAACCTTGGAACTACTGCAGGTAAACGTATGAATGAGTAATCAGATGATGTAGATCGCGCTCATAGCTTGAAATATCAGAACTATGATATATAGGTAAATATTTTTTAGTGATTTGAAAGTTTGAGTGACCCCTTTTTTGAGCTTATTTCATTCTACACACGATACCAAGTTTTAAAAAATATGGAAATACAAAAAATAATACAAACCTATTTGTTAAATATTTTTAAATTATCGCATCTTAGTAAATGCGCCATATGAATCATTTGACCGTCTTGATGGAAATAACGCCTGTTAAATATCTGCTTTATTTGTGCTAAAAGTATTCGAAAACTATTTTGAATACAATGAGGATACCTAATTATGAGCTGAACTAATTTTTTCTTGAATTAATGGTTCATTTTTAAGATTTAAGATAATTATGTAGATTAAAATAAACCCCCCAAAGAGGTATCACTTACCTATATGTTATAGTTTTGATATTTCAAAGTTACGATGCGTCACTAAGCCGTTTAGTATTATTTTATTACAAATTACTTAATTATTGTGTTCCTACCGACTGAACAATAAAAAATACGATTAAAGACGGTCACGAATTTTTGAAGATCTGTCTTTGATTATTATTGCTTTTTCTGGCCAAACTTTCAAAATAACGGTAATAATCTGACAAAACGAAAATTCTATCAAAAACAAATCTTCAAAAATCTGTGACTGTCTATGATCGTGTTTTTTACTGCGCTCTCGAGAGGTGATATGTACACATAGTACATAGTCCCTAAACATTATTTTTTAATATGTAGTTATCTGATAGTTAATAATTTGATTAAGTCTGAAAGATGATCAAAGTTGCTGTTTTCCTGTAAAGTTTGAAAATCTTGCCTAAAAGCCAAACTATGAAAAACAAACAAGCCTTAAAATATGTACAAAAGAAAAAATACTGCCTTTTTAAATCTCATTTTAAGCGAAGGAAGTATTGTAATCGAGTCCGTCGGCCGTCTCTACTTTTACGTTTTCTCGACCTTTCATGACCCCTGCAGTACGAAGAAATAGACCTCCCGTTTCCGTCTGTCTATGCGTCTTTATATCCGTCTGTGTGTCCGTCTATCCGTCCGTTTGTCTGCCGTCTCGAATTTTTATTAGACAGATAATCTCCGAAAGTACTGGACCGAATTTTCTATTTATATTAGGAATATCATATAGATGCAAAATCTAAATTGTACATTGTAAATGAGTTTTAAATCATATAAAATAACATAGTCCTACACAAGTAGTTTATGTCTCCGTGTTGAGTTTTTACCCGAAACCTCCAAATTTTTGGAAAAAATCAAAATTATAAAACACCATTTTGCAATTTAATGTTTAATCTGCAAAACCGAATGCTTTCAAATTTTGTAGATGTTTTAAAGTTATGATAAGCATGATCAATTTTTAATCAAAATATATTTGCTTATTTCCTCCAAAAAATTGATAACATTAGCTCAAAATTTTGCTGAATAAATCCTATCTAAGATGTCCAAAATATGATGAGTCTATATTTGTGATTTATCATTCTATTAATATTGTTTGGATTTACTTATACAGGGTGTTTAAAAAAAATGAATGCTTGAATTAATTTTATTGATTTAATCAGGAATTGCAAAACCGAATGCCTTGAAATCTTGGCGATATTTTAAATGTATCCTAAGCATGATACATTTTTGATCAAAATATATTCGCTCATCCCCCCCCCCCCTAAAAAATTGATGACGTCACTTCAAAATATTGCCGAATTTTAAGTTTGCAAAATATGATGAGTCTATACTTGCGAGTCAATTTATTTTATTGATTAAATCAAGAATTCCAAAACTCAATACTTTGAAATATTGCAGACGTTTTGAAGTTATTCTAAGCATGGTAACTTTAATCAAAATGTATCTGTTTATCAACCCCAAAAAATTGATGACCTCCAAAATGTGCGAAATATGATGAGTTTTTACTGGTGATTTATCATTGCATTCATATTTTTTAGATTTGCTTAAACAGGAGGCTCAAAGAATTAATTAATTTTATTGATTAAATCAGAATATTTTGGGAATACAATACTGTTATTTTTAGTATTACACTGCATCAATCCCACATTGATACACATGTCCTTGCAGAGATGTTGATCACGTCCTCACAAAATTTTTAAATATTGTGTTATCTCTGTTTTAGTAAAGATGTCACTTTTGTGTACCTCGACGAAACATGGGTTTACCAAAACGGTTCTTCCTTTCGTCGTTGGGTACACAATTCAGATGTGAAAAGTAATCTCAGCAAAATTACAAGTGAAGATTCAAAATTTACAACCTTGCATGCAGGTTTTCACTTGGGCGTTTTGGAAGGATGTAACTTTTTATTAAATTCGAATCAGCTTATTCCACATTTTGGTTGAACGCGTTTCAACCAAAATGTGTGATGGTAATGGATAATGCACTACACCATTCGGTGCCATTCTACCAGAAAAACTCAAACGCAAAACTGATTGGGTAATCACAGTAATGAATTTGATAAGCATTTTTCGAAAAATAATTATGGAATTTATTAAACTTTTATAAACTGATCGGAAAAAAAAAACGTTTTTTGACGCACGAGTCCTTGCAGGAAAGTGGTTATGATGTCCTTAGATACCATTGAAATGATGTGGTGGTTTTGTAAATCCGGTTATAGCAAACACATAAATTTTCGGCCTTCATCCGATTATACAATCGAGAATGTATAGCTTGAGGCTCTTTCCAAATATACTCCAGAGAAGTTGCATGATTTTAGCAAACATTTTCAGAATTTATTTCGGCTGATTGGGAGAAACACATGGGAAATTTGTCGTTTAAGAACATACCACCATTCAATATTTCATTGGAGGAATCTGATTCAGAATTAGAAACTGATGATAATGACAGCTCAGATTTGTACACAGCGAAGTAATGTATGCTGAGTATGAACAGTGGGTAGGATTTATAAATTTCAAATAAGTGAAAACAACCAAAACCCTTAATATATTATTAAATGTATCGCAGACGATAGTCGTGTTTACAAAATTAAAGTACAACAGGTAAGATTTACTTGTAGATAGTAGATTTACCATCCGCCTATGAAAAAAAAAATGCAGGATTCTTTATACCAGAAAATTATGAAACAATTTGCCCATTCCTGCAGATTTTAGTCAACAAAAGCCGAAAACATTCGCTTTATGTAAAATTTAAACTGAGTTCTCCTTCTGGGGCCATCAACAAAATTTCTTGCAACTGAAATTCACCTAGCATCAATTTTCTAGCAGTGGGTAGGTCTTTGATTAATGATTACTAATTATTTTTTTTTTACATAAGCCTTTCAGCTAAAAAAATAATTTCCAAGGTTTATACCACGAGTATTCAGTAATGTTATTAAGTCCTACAGTGGATGGGTTTCTAACTCATAACCTTAAACAGGTGACAACCCGATTCGACATAAAGAATGTTATTCCTTTGTTTAATAAAATTAATTTGAATTGCCGATAATTTTGTAAACCTAATAAAACTGATACATGAAATGTCCCATCTAACCTTGTTTTTTTTTTGTTTTCCTGTTTGTTAGTGCTTCCCAGACAAAAAGTCTTTACACAAAAAACAGTCTTCTTCAGAATTTTACCTGCGTATTCACTTAAAAATGGCATCTCTATTGGAGCAGAAAGCGTGTATGATTGAGTCGTATTTTCGAAATGGACAGAAGGCAGAAGATAAACGCGTTGCGGCTTGTGATAAATTCCAAGAAAAGTTTCCCAACAACATTGTCGACTATGCCCATTTTTGCAACTCAATAAACGATATATGACACAGTGCCAAGAAACCTCGTCTCTACAAAGAAAGGAGGGAAGTGGTAGGTCGAAAGATTAGAGAACTCCAGAAAATATTGAGAGAATGGAGCAAATCCCTACAACATTCATGCGACATTTAACATATCAAATGCAATTAACATATGAAATTTGCCGAGCAATATTACGAAAAAATTTACCACTGTTTCCTTATCGAAGCCTATTTTCATTCGAGTGGAGCTACATTAATAATTGTGAAAATATGAGAATATGAAGCACCGAAAAT